GTGTGTGTGTGTGTGTGTGTGTGTGTGTGTGTGTGTGTGTGTGTGTGTTTGCAGTGCTGAAGACTGACTGTAGGGCCTCATACATGCTAAGAAAATTCTCTGCCACTGAGCTGCACTCTAAACCCCGAAAGGTTCGATTCTAACTTTTGTCTTTTCTGTATTAACTCAGTCTCCAACACCAGAGTGAAGAGACCTCCTTTTGAGACATAAGCATATGAACACATAAGCATATGACAGATTAAAAAAAATTTATTCAGCATTCATGAAGAGGTCAGAGGGCAACTTTCTGGAGTCAGTTCTCTCTTTCACTGTGTGAGTCAGGGTGACTGACCTCAGGTGGACATGCTTGACAACAGATTTGCCTATTGGGTCATCTCCAGCCAAATACTATTATTTTCACATTGAAATATTGCAAGTGAGTCTAGATCTTTGCAGTTCCACAGGAGGGGACATTATGTCCAGCAATTATTGTTTTAGTTCTGTTAAGTGTGTTGCTGCTGCTGTTGTTGTTCTGTTGGTTTATTTTAGATAGGGTTCTGTTGTATAGCTCAAGCTAGCCCCAAACATATAATCCACCTGCCTCAGTTTCCTGAGTACTAGCCTTATAGGATTCCTATCACACTCAGCTTGATAAATTATTGTCCTAATTTCTCATAGAAATAGTAAAAGCGAAGGAAGCCATTGCCATAGATCTAGCCAGACAAACATCCAATGTTCCATGCTTTCTGGCAGAGCCACCATGAACTAGGTACGTCTGCCTCCCCTTGGGCCATGATGTGTATATAGTGACTTGTCCATTCAAAGGCTGTTGTAGAAACTTGCTGGCTGTTTTCATGGGCTGGATCAACCCTACTTATAGATTCTCAGTCATGAGAGCCATGACGGTCAAAGTTCTTACATGGCAAATATTCTCATGAGCAAAAATAAACAAGAAAGGCTGTTTTGTGGTAGAATGGGGGAACTTGCTCATGACGCCAAGTAAAGGCTGACTCTCAAGTCTATGACATTTTAGAAGACATCTCCTGCTTGGATGAGAAAGTTGCTTGTATCTCTAAGACTCTGTAATCTACTTGTAAATCACCATTGAGAACTAGAAATTGGGAAGTATTGGATCACGAGACAAACTGTATTTAAAGTTGATTGTGATAAAGGAGTCCATCAAGAGCCTAAAAGCTGATAGCTCTTCTGGAGTCAAAGAATGAAGAAAGATGTGTAGCTCCTATCTTCCCGTCACAAATGCTCAATTCTGCAATCCCCCATTGTGTCGGGAGTATGGACAAGACGTGTGGGTGCCTGAGAGCAGAGGTCATGGCTTCTAAGAGGGAGAGCTGCCCTCATTCACTTGGGTGGGTTGGTACATGACTTCTTTTGGTTCTAAAAGGAAAAGAAGATTTTAGTTAGTTATGTGTACAGTTTCCTCACAGCTCAAAGTCATTCAATATTCAGCAAAACCTAGAAGCAGCCACTGACAGTTTTAGTCTGCTTTCTCAAGATTCTCCTAAAACTTGTCACATTTTAACTCAAAATTTACAAACTCCTGAAGAGAAGAAGCAGTAACTTTCTTCTTGAGAAGTATGCATTGATTTGTTTAGGATTCATTTTGTACTCTATTTATTCTGGAAATATTACTTACCCACTAGCTGGGTTGATTTTCTAGCAAATGGACTGGTCTGACTAGTAACTAACACCACACATGTACAGTATCCCCTGGATTGGGTTCAAATCAACAAGAATCAAGGAAAGGCAAGCTCCTGCCCACCCAGCTTCTGAGCCCTGCTCCAGGTTTCATTAATATTTGTTGTGATCAGCTTGAGTAACTAGTAAACCAGAGATAGAAAATGACATTTCAAATATGCCATTAGCTCTATGACATGGGGCCTTGATTGTTCTTTTCATTGCTGTTTCTCAAGAGCCAGTACAATGCTTAAAACACAACAGACATTTCATATGTGGTTTTTTTTAAAGATTTATTTATTTTATTTATGAGTACACTGTAGCTGTCTTCAGACACACAAGAAAAGGGCATCAGATCTCATTACAGATGGTTGTGAGCCACCATGTGGTTGCTGGGATTTGAACTCAGGACCTCTGGAAGAGCAGTCAGTGCTCTTAACCACTGAGCCACCTCTCCAGCCCCCTCATATGTGTTTTTTAATGAATAGATTTATACAACAGACATTTAGTACACATTTAATGAATGGATTTATTATCTATGCTATCAAAAGCATATGTCTTTCCTCCTTCTCCTTATCTCAAGTCCTATTTTACAATGGTGTTTACTTTTAAACAGTTCATGTTCTAAGAAATGAATTTCAATGAAAGGGAACTTTCATATAATTGGGCTAGAAGACTGGAGTGGTGGTTTGGGTATTCTTGGCCCAGGACCTGGCACTACTAGGAGGTGTGGCCTTGTTGGAGTAGGTATGGCCTTGTTGGAGGAAGTGTGTCACTTTGGGGGTGGGCTTTGAGATCCTTCTGCTAGCTGCCTGGAAGCCAGACTTCTCATAGCTGCCTTCTGATCAAGACGAAGAACTCTCTGCTCCTCCAGCGCCATATCTGCCTGCACACTGCTATGCTTCCTGCCATGATAATAATGCACCGGACTTCTTAAAGTGTAAGCCAGCTCCAATTAAATGTTGTCATTCATAAGAGTTGCCTTGGTCATGGTGTCTCTTCACAACAATGGAAACCCAAACTAAGACAAATGGGAAAATTAACAGGTATTTTCTCTATAGAAGGGGAATATTGTCTCAGGCCCACATGTGATTCTAGCATGAGGGTCAACCTGTTTCTAAACAGAACTCAAGAGGCAGATCCAGAAAACAGAGGTCTCAGACACTGTGCCAAGAAGACCACTAGCAGCATCTCGCAAGAGTCCTACATGCCTCTCACCTCGTGACCTTCTCCGGATCAGAACACCAACTCCAGCCAGGACGATGATAATTATGGTCCCAGAGATCATGATCACTACTAGAAGGATGTTTCCTGCTTCTGTAAGTAAATAAGAAAAACCTCCATGTTGATCCTGCCATCTGCATTAAATTTATCATGGTGTTCATTAGGAAACCTGGCTATCGTCACTTCTCAGTCACCATCTGATAGCACATAGATATGTGCCTATGCTTTTTTCTACTTGTTTATGTGTTTGTTTTTCCTGAGACAGGCTTTCTCTGTGTAGCCCCAGGTACTCTGCAACTCACTTTGCAGATCAGGCTGGCTTCAAACTCAGAGATCAACCTCCTTTGCCTTCCACCCCAACCCTAGGTCCCCAGTGCTGGGATTGAAAGTATGTCCCTCTACTACCCGGTTCTATCTATCTATCTATCTATCTATCTATCTATCTATCTATCTATCTTGTTTTTCTTTTCCAAGATAAGGTTTCTCTGTGTAGTTCTGACTGTCTTAGAGCTCACTGTGTAAACCAGGCCTCAAACGCAGAGACTTGTCTGCCTCTGCCTTCTAAGTGCTGGGGTTAAAGGCATGTCCCATCACCACCTGGCTATTTTTTAAAAATATAATATGTAATTTAGTAAACTGTATCAGGTGTGACACACACGAATGACAGTTATTTAAGGTCCTAGTAGTTCATAGGAGTATAGATGTGTGTGGGGACTAAACATTGTAAGAAGCACTAATTGAAAAGAGCCATTGTGGGAACTGGAGAGATGGCTCAGTGGTTCAGAGCACTGACTGCCCTTCCAGAGGTCCTGAGTTCAATTTCTAGCAACCACATGGTGGCTCATAACCATGCCCTCTTCTGGTGTGTCTGAAGACAGCTACAGTGTATTCATATAAACAAACAAACAAACAAACAAATAAATCTTAAAACAAACAAACATTGCTGGAGCTGGAGAAATGGCCCAGCCATTAAGCCATTAAGAGCACTGACTGCTCTTATGGAAGACCTGATCTTCTAGCACCTGCCTGGGATAGTTCACAACCATCTGTAACTCCAGCTCCAAGGGATCCGATGCCTTCTTCTGAACTTGTTTGGTACCTGCATTCACATGCATATACTCACACACAGACACACATAGATATACACATGAATAAAAATGATAAAATAAATCTTGGGGCTGGAGAGATGGCTCAGTGGTTAAGACCACAGGCTGCTTTTCTGGAGGTTCTAGGTTATATTCCCAGCACATATGGTGGCTAACAACTATCTATCACTCTAAGTCCAAAGGATTCAATGATCCTCTTCTGGCCATTGTGGACACTCTACACATGTGGTAAACAGCCATACATGAAGCAAAAAAAAAAGCACATAAAATAAAATAAAAAACTTTAAAAATTACAAATAGAAATTCAAGTTAGGTGTAGTTGTCCACTCCTTTACTCCTTGGGAGGCAGAGGCAGATGGACTTCTGTGAGTTCATGGCCAACCTGGTCTACAAAGCAAGTTTCAGGACAGCCAGGACTACACAGAAACCCTGCCTCTAAAACCAAAGAAACAAATAGTTGCCACTGCACCACCACCAGGTGAAGGCTGCGGTGACCCATGCGGTGACAGTGACCCAGCATCCCTTTGTTACAGCTTTGCAGCTTTCTACCTCTTTCTCAGTCTCCCTTCCCAGACAGACACCACCCCCATACTTACCCCGAGGGGCCTCAAGAACCATTTGTCGACCACAGTGCTCCACATGACAAGAATACATGTCATTGCTCTGAGGATCCAGATCAACCGACACCCACATTTGATAGGTTCCATCCCCACTGGGAAGCACCCCTCCATAATCTACTTCTTGGGCAATTTCTTCCCCGTTTTTCATCCATGTCATGGAAATTTCTGGTGGGTAGAAGCCATGAGCTCTGCAGACGAGAGTTGTAATCCCTGGAAAAGTTTCCTTTCGAGTTGTTCTTACCACTGGAGGCTCTAGAGAGAAGCAGACATGGTTAAACGGAAGGAACTTGGGTACTGAACTTACCATGTTCAAACACAGAGCCAAGTTTCCAGTTAATTTTCTTTGCAGCAAGAAATATCTACATCTGAGAATGAACCAGAATCTGGATTCATCAGCAACAAACTTAGCTTTTGTAGCCTTCCTCCTATGCCATAGGCAAGGGGACACGTACGGCTGAGGCACTTTTGTCTTCTCAGGGGAGAAAAGGCATATAGCATCAAGTACTTGGAGAGTGTACTGAAGTTGCTTACTGTTCACCTTTGAAATACCCTTATGTGAGGGGCTGGAGAGACGGTCCAGTGGTTAAGAGCGCTGTCTGATTGTCCCGAGGACCTGGCTCCAATTCCCTACACCCACGTGGCAGCTCACAGTCGTCTGTAACTCCATCTATTCCAGAGGATCCAACACCCCGACACAGACATACAAGCAGAACACCAATACACATAAAACAACAAAACAAATACCTTATGTGTCAAGGAAAGTAAATGATTGTTCTTGATAAGTAACTCACCTAGAGAGTGGAGATTAGAATGCAATAGATCTCAATTCTCCATTTACTGACAATAGAAACACACAGCCATGTCAGGTCAACAGGGGCTCTGGATTGCCCTATGCTATTGGAGTAGTATTCTGATGGTTATAATCAAATATAAACACATGTCATAGTCCATGTGCCCTCAAAGAAGCTACAGAAAATAATATTACAGAAGGGCTCTGTCAGTGATGAGAGAGAAAGAGGAGACATCATCCCTATGGCCCAGGATGAGCTTGCAGTGCTCCTCCCTCAGCTGCCTGAATGTTAGGATTACAGGTATGTACCACTGTGCTCAGGCTGTTCACCACCAATCACCACTGGTGATCTAACTTCCTCATGGCATCATATGGCCATTTTCCATATGGTGTTATCTTAACCTTTCCAGCTGAAACTGGTCATAAAGCCAAACTGAAACCAAGCACACTGTCTGGAGGACCTTCCTAGGCATCCGTGAAACTTCCTTCCTTCCTTCCTCACCTCCACCTTAGTGTCTGACACTGTGGGCGCAGGGAAGAGCCCCCTTCTCAGATATTCCTTGTCCCTTACCTGTGACATGGGATTTAGTTATAGAAAAAGAGTTTCGGCCGGGCGTTGGTGGTGCACGCCTTTAATCCCAGCACTTGGGAGGCAGAGGCAGGTGGATTTCTGAGTTCGAGGCCAGCCTGGTCTACAGAGTGAGTTCCAGGACAGCCAGGGCTACACAGAGAAACCCTGTCTCGAAAAACTTAAAAAAAAAAAAAGAAAGAAAGAAAGAAAAAGAGTTTCCAACATTCGAAATAAAACATTGCCAAGGGATTTTTTTCCCCTATGACTGCAGGAAATGAATCTACCTCCCAAGACAGGGGTTTTGACCAAAAGGTTGAAACCATTATGACAGTCAAGACAGGGAATGAGAACTACATGTACATACACCATGTATACTTGAGTCAAACCTTCCATACTCTTCCTCCCGGTTGATCCCCAGAGCTTCTGCGCCAGGCAGAATCAACAGAACTAGCTGGCAACCTCTAACTCTCATTTCTCAGCAACTCGGCTTGAGTTTCCCTTTGCCCAGTACTGTATTCGGGACAAGCAGCAGGCCAGGCAACTCCGGGCAAATGCTACTGATGTGCTTTGAATATAAACGTCCCTCACGGGATCACGTGTTAAATCCAGGCTTTCTAAACACTGGTGTTATTTTGGGGAGGTTCTGGAAACTCTAGGAGGTGGGGTCAAGCTAAAGGAAGCAGGTCACTGTGGGGAATCCCTGGGGTTGTATCTTGTCCCTGGCCCCTTGCTTACTCCCTCTGCTTCCTGTCCACTGTGAAGTCAACTGCTTCACTACACCCTTCCCACCAGGATGGACCCAAACATCTGAAACTGTGACCAGTCTTCCCTCCTCTTAGGCTGTTATTTCAGGCATTCTGTCACAGCAAAGGGAAAAATAACTGACCCAGCTATGCAGCAAGCATCCTCAAATCAGAAAGTAAACACCTATCTTTTCCTTTTCCTATCTGCTGAGACTCAGCCTAAAACATTCATAGTGATTAAGGGAAGCCAAGGTCTGCAGTAGAATTTAACCGGATCTTAGGCTATCAGATGTTCTTCAGTCAGGGAACAGTCACAGTTGATACGAGAGCAGCGCCCTGAGGCTTAGCAGGATTCTCATCTACATAATCTTCCATACTTTCTGGAAAGTAGGCAAGGCCACATTATATTACTCGAGACTGGGGATTTGCTAGCTAACCTTCCAGAAACTTCTTTTTTTCTAACAGGAGAGGCTCCTTCTCCTGCCAAACAACATCATATTTTGAGACATTACCAGAACCCTCTGGAACATGGGCTCCTATGAAGTACTCATCCTAATTCCTCCCCTACAAACGTCACTCAGTGTGGAATGGCTAGCATCTCCTTGTTAGCCCGTGGATCCAGTCTCTGACCTTCTGTGATCTGTCTAGGCCTTCACACTGTAACTCTAGTGCTTCTCTGCCCCTGGTTTCCAGCTGGACAGCCTCAGCCAGAGAGCAGTGAGCTGATGAGGTACCAGTCTCAATACACAGACAGTCCTGCCCTGGGCGCGTTCCTCTGCAGCCACACCTCCTGCCAGGTTTTCCTATCAGCCCACCAACCCTTTCAGGGCTCTGCTAGCAGCTGCCCCCTCTTCCTGCCCCTCAGCTTGAGCTAAAGCAGGGGCAGTTCCATGTTCATCAGACACGTCACCACCCCTTACGGGATCCTCACTAGACTCCTTGTAAAGGAGCCCTGGGTGAAGTATTGGTTGTGGTCTCTTAGGTCCCTGTGCTGCTCTGATTCTTGCTTTCAAATAGGATGTGAACCTGTTTGACGTAGGTTTGTTAACTGCAACCATTGAGCCTATGGTAGTTATTCTGTTAGTAGGGAAGAAAGCCAATATCAAGCTCCAATATCATCTACCTACAAAGCCTGGGCATTTTAGACAGACAACACATGGTTATTTTGTTTGTTTGCTTGCTTTGTTTTTGAGACAGGGTTTCTCTGTGTAGCCCTGGCTGTCCTAGAACTCAATCTGTAGACCAGGTTGGCCTGGAACTCAGAGAGACGGGGTTTCTCTGTGTAGTCCTGGTTGTCCTAGAACTCAGTCTGTAGGCCAGGTTGGCCTCGAACTCACAGAGATACACCTCCCTCTGCATCCTGAGTGCTGAGACTAAAGGCCTGAGCTACCACTACCCAGCAGGGCAGTACATGTTTATAACCACAATCCACACCCTTCCTCCCAACTTGGGGCTTGCCACATCTCTGGAAAGTCCCCCAGACTAGCCATTACTCTCCTGGGAAAGGGTCTATAGTGTTCAGGGATTTTCTGAAACATTTTGAATCATGCAACCCAACATGTAACATTCCACATGCTGCTGAAGTTGACCAGTGGGGTCATGCATTTGTGGCAGAAGATAAACTCTGTCCCCAGAAGAATTGAAGTTGATCCCCAAGTAAGGAAAAACCTGTCTCCCCAAGGCTCTTCTTCATAGGGCTAGCTTTGCACTCACACAGGGATTCTGTGAACCCTTGCTTTTTAAGTAATCTGCAACAACAGCCTCACTTACAAAAGCTTTCCCCAGCCTCTCACTGACAGGAGAGGACTTTTTTTGATAGAGGTGCCCTTGGAGGCACGACATTCTGTCAAGACAAGTGGAACTGCTAAGGCTTGTCAAGGTGCTGCTAAAAATATAACTAATGAGACTTCTCTTGGGGGTTACAGGTCAGAACAGTCCAACCAAGAGATGGATTTCAGCACAGGGTGAATATCACCTGCAGAAGAGGAAGTTAGACACAAAGCCAGTCTTTCTAGGGATGTTAAGAACGAGGTGTTCTCTCTTCCCATTACCTGTTCTTTCTAGGACATCTCTCCCATACTCCAAGAACCTCTTCAGCCAGGCAATGCACTCTTCTTCCAGCCAGTTCTTTTGGTATTGCAACTCATGCACGTTGGCCTCCCATGCTCGCTTGGTGATGTGGGCCACATTATCTATGGCCAACCAGGAGAGGCTGTCTTTGTTGAAGATGATGAAATCTTGTCCATCATATGCATACTGGAGAAACCCTGTGGTGCTGCCGTCTTCTAGCAACTCACAACCAATCATTCTCTGGTAGGTGTGAAACCCTGAAACATACACAGTCTATGGAAGGATGGCTCTAAAAAGAGACACAGAGAGGCTTCTCAAGTGGTACAACTGAGCACGGCTGGAAGCATTCTTTGCCTTAGAAGACACCACCCCACGGGCCTGTATATTTGGGTTCCAGAAGGTTCCTGTTTTGCAGACCCACCTACTCACAGACATTGGTGAGGTACCTACGGCATACCAAAGGCTCACAATGATGCCTGCCTTGGGGAATCATCCTATCTTTGGGATGATTCATTGATAAATTTCATAGCTATTCTGAGTGCAGTGTAGGAGCAAGAGATTTGCAGGAGCCAGAAATATATCTGGGACAATTAATATCATAAGTTTCTATGCAGAAATAAGGAAACCATGAAGCCTAGCCATCAGAACATGAGCCCCAAGGTAAGCAAATTTAGAATGAGGAAAGAGAAAGTTGTTGGATACCAATGGGGTAGGATTATGGGGACAAGGGATAAAGGGTTTTTACAGGTCAGTGTAGAAGAGCCATGGGGGAGATGGTGGTCACTGAACTTCAGTAACCTGATTTTCTAAGTTTTCTACAGAGGATGTAAGCAACTGGTGACATTGCCATAGACAGCCCAGGGCCTTTCTCCTGGGGCGTAGCCAGTGAGGGAGAGTGCTCATTTCCACTGCAGTCACACCTGAGTGGTTGTAGTGCCTCTGCAGGTGCCTCAGCTCCGTCTTGAATGTCTGCTGCCAGCCCCTAAGCAGCTGAGTGTACCTCTCCCAGTGATCAGCTGCCAGGTTCTCTGCCATCCATGGAGCTTTTGGTTCCTTCTTTCGAGTAACACTGTCATATGTAGTGATAGGGTGTGAGTCCACATACCCAACAGAGATAAAGTCAGGGACTCCGGGGCCAGGATCCGAAACGGCAAGACGAAAATATCTCAGCGAGTGGGTCCCTGAGGAGGAGGCAAGGAAGGAAGGTACTGAGAGCCACAGATGACAGAATGTAATAACCACATTCCACGGCATCCCTGCATTAATGCCCTAGCCTGATACTCTGTGTCACCCATCCCACTATTTTATCCAACACAACTATTGAATTCTAGGAATTACAACCTGGAAAAAGTTCAGCCCTGTGACCAAAGATGAAACTTTACAGGTAACCTCAACTTGGCCTTGGAGGGAGGGCCAAAGACTATTCACTGGGCGGGTGGGAATGAGGTTGAGGTTGGGGTGCTGTGCTGTGCCTCATGAAGCCCTCAGAGCCTCTGAGGGAAAGAAAAACCCCAACAGTCCAACCCCCTTCTTTTACTAATAAAGCTTCTGACTATTGAGAACCGTCATTCTACCATCTTCCAGCTACACATCTTGGGATGCACACCCCTCTTCCCTGATTAAACAGAGAACAGCTATTAAGGCTCAGGCCTCCTGCAGAAAATACTTTCAAAAGCACCATGCTTTTCCTTGCTGTACCCAACCACTCCTGGTAGCTACTTTCTTACTGTTTTTCTAGTTTTTCTTCCATTTAAATATCAATATGAGGATTGTGATCATCACTAAGGTCAAAGTAAACTGAAATGAACTCCTAGGTTGTGCAAGAAGTTCAGGACCTGGTGGAGATAAGGAAGATGGTTTCAGAAGTAGCATAATACCGGCCATCATGTCAATGTAGGCTCTTGGGAAAGTTTTTGTAGAAAGGGCGACATCTTGGAGGAGATCTCAGGGCCAAGAGGTGAGCAGGCCAAGGGGAGAGAGGGCAGTGGGGTTTGGCAGAAATGTGCATGCTGGCCAAGGACACCACAGCCTTCTCTTCATTCTCCGTGGGACCCATCTGGTGGCTCTACAGGTGTAAGTCATGCCTGGCACTTAGCTGGGCCTCTAAAATGGCACTTCACAATATAGGGATATCAGCTGACAGATATGAAGTCGGTAATTCAGAACAGGGGAGATGAAGAAAAGTCCTTGTCACACTCCCCGTCATAGCATGCCAGATCTTGTATATACAGTTCGTATCTCACCAGAATGTGTTGCCCAGATAGTAAAAGATTTAATATAACTACTAAGGTTGACTCATTTGGAAGAACTAAAATTGTTCTACAAGATGGCAATTTCGAAACCATTTGCTCCGATCCCCTTCTTGCTCCGATGATTATGAAGTCAGTTTGGGTTCTCCCCTTTCCATGAGTCACCAGCATTACTCACGTGTGGAGCTGAGATCTATGATCTTAGCATTTGGCCCTCTGTCTAGCTGGGCCAGTCAAGCTGCTTCTCAAGGGTCCTTTACTGTTCACTCAAATCTCCTAGGCCTTGCTGGAGAGTCCATTCAACTCAACAAGCATCTCTCACACCAACGTGCTGGCTCGTTCACCCCCCACCTCCTGAGCTTTGCCTCTTTAAATTGGTACAGCAGCAGTTGGGCCATTTTGACAAACATCTAAGGAAAATTACTGGAATATAAAACAACAGAACATGTGTTTTCAGGCATTCATCCATAGAGTCTTGTTTTTTTATTGAATATCTACCATGGACAAGCTGTAGGCAACATCAGAAAGAGGAAAATGAATCAGGTACCATTTCTCCCCTCCAGAAATTTACAGTATAACTTGAGATTTTTATATAACAGAACAAATACAAGTGTCACAAAAGGAGCACCAGTGGGGTGCAGGCAAGACAAGAGCCCTGCACTCATAGGAGTGGTCCACTGAGAAATCCTCCAAGGAAATCAAGACAGATTAGTTATATTTCACTGAGTCCTAAAGGGCAGCAGGTACCTCCATCATAACTATTAAAGTGTATTTATTTATTGTGCAAGTACCATGTGGTCAGTGCCATATTAACCCTTGAGAAACATTGGCTTCATTCGTTCCTCACAATAATTAAACAAAACAAAACATGGTCTCGTGTATCCCAGGCTGGCCTCGAGCTCTGTATGTAGTCAGTAATGACCTTGAACTCCTGATCCTCCTGCCTCACGAATCACCAAATCTGGTTCAGGTGGCACTGGGGATTGAACACAGGACTTTGTACAAGCTAGACAAATATTCTATCTATACGGCTACATACCCAGCCTTCACAGTAACATTTCAAGGTAGGTCCTATCATTCCCATTCCAGAGATGAAAGGTGCAGAGATTAAGTATATTGCTCAAAATTAATTAAATTAAGTACAGCCTTAGACGCCAGTGAAGGAACCAGGAATCAAAGTCTGAATTCTCACGTAGGGAGCCTCTCCACTTATGACTACCCTACTCTGCTTGAGAGACACTCTCTCAACAGGGTGTTATAACCTTCCAGAGCCTGGATTAAAGTGCTCTCTCCTGCCCCCTTGTGTCAGACACATTTCATTCTCTGATTTGGATCTTCCTTAGATGGTAGTAGGTTCTGATTGGGTAGCCATGTCAACAACAAGCAGTTAATTGTTTTCCTCTTCCAGTATCTCAGTGCCTTAGTAAGGTAAAAATGATTGTGATTTCTGATAACTACTCTTTGAGATTCCAGGTATTGTGGGAATGAGGAGAAAAGTGAATGGTTGTGTTTTTAATTAAAAGAACCTTTGGGCACTCCTCAAAGCTTGCAGTGGTGTGGATAGTTCTGCAAGCAGTAAAAACCATTAGTCCCCACTCCTAACAACTGCTAAATGACTGGCTCCTGTGGCAAGTCTAAAAAAGACAAATGTCTTAACCACTGTATTAATTACTTTCCTTATTCCTGTGGAGAAATATGTGATAGAAACATAAGGGAGGAAGGGTTTATTTTGGCTCACAGAATAATGGAGTAGAGTCCATAAAGGAGAAGAAAAGGATTCTGGGATGAGTCTGGTCTGGTGTTGCTGGAGCTTGTGCTCAGCATCCTCACAATTTTCCAGGTCAGAAAGCAGAGGGCTCAGCCTGGAAGTATGCTGGTCGATGGTAACCCTTGGACCTAAACTTAAGGCCTGTTATCTAGGTTCTGTGCCCCAAAACTACACAACTTCTCAAGAGATGAAGCCTGAGGGTACATTTCACACTCAATCCACAGAGCTTCACCCTGACCCCAGAGGTCCATGGGCATCTCATGACACAAGATGCATTTTACATCTGTAAAAGTCCCTAACATCTTAAGAGTTCCAACATTGATCAAAATCCAAAATCATGGGGCTGGAGAGACGTGAAATTGTTCTTTAATTGTATTAATCCCTTTATGAATTATCACAGCGTTTCCCCACAGTTGCTTTGACCACAACTGTACTCATGTTCCTTTCCTTGCCAAACTACATACTTTTCAAATATTTCTTCTCGGCTTTCGGCTGTCTGTTGCTGTAATATGGCTAAAAGCAGGGACAGTAACCAGCACAGTCTGAACACTTCTGACTAGAGGTTTTCTTCAGCAAACAAATTAGTACATTGCTTTTTAATACAGCCTCGTTTCGACTTTCAGGACACAGACATAGATTCTTTGCTGGAATGTGACACAAATGGCCTCTGTCCAATTCCTGATAAAGTCCCTCTTGCCCTCTGCCAGAACATCCCACGAAGCTCTAGTTACAACATTCTAAGGTTGTGCTAACCCATAGCTCCAAACTTTTTTTTTATTACTCTTACAAGTCACTTCTGAAGTCCTATAGACTGCACAGTCAAGTTTAGCATTGCAGTGACCCCACCCCTGGTACCAATTTTCTGTATGAGTTACTTTTCTCATTGCTGTGATTCAATACTTGATTGACACAAACCACATAAGGCACGAAGGACTTATTTGAATAATGGCTTAAGGAGATACCGTCCATCATAGTGGAGAAGGCATGGAAGCAAGGATTAGTTTAGCTGGGAAGGAAGGAGCTTGCAGCTCACTATCCTCACACTACACAGCCAGGAAGTACTGAGCTTGGGATAGAAATACATTCAACCTATACCTCTCAACTCTTGACTCTGCAGCCTTAAGTCTGCAAGCTAAGTCCCATGTCCTAAAGTTCTACAATATCACAACAGAGCCAACATCTGAAACCAAGTGTCCAAATACATATACCTGTGAGGAATATTTCCTGTTGAAACCATTCCAATCACTCTTTCATGGCTACCCTTTCAACACTTAACCAATATCTCATTTCATACAAGTATTATTCTTTTATGAATTTCCAGTAAACACAATTCTAACTGCTAGGGGCACAATAAGGAACAAATAAAGGACCAGTCCTCTGAGATACTTTCTAGAAGGGATATTGTCAATTGATAAATATGTAGTACAAGGTCAAGTGATAATAAATTGTATTAAGAAACTAGTGTCCATGTTGGTATATGCCTTTAATCCCAGCAGGTGGGAGATAGAGGCAAGTGAATCTCTGTGAGTTCTGGGACAACCAGGGCTACACAGAGAAACCCTGTCTCAAAAAACACAAAACAAGCAAACAAGTAAAAAAAAAATTAAAGAAAACCAAAGTAGAGAAAGGAGATACTGTACAGAGAGCGAATGTGTTAAACCAGCCAGCAGAGCCTTCTTTGACCAGATAACATTGAGCAGAGCTGTGTCTAGAGTGAAGGAGGGGGCATGGGAGGTGGGGTGGGGGAAGATCCTTCCAGATAACTGAGCCCAAATCCTTGAGTGTGCATGCTTTGCCTTTTGGAAGAACATCAAGTAGACCACTGTGGTGCTCCAGAGAGTGAGTGAATGAGGGGGCCGAAATGCTTTTCTTCCCCTCCCTACACCTTGAGTACAAGAATGACCACACGTCTCATATAGCCCAGAAGAATCTCAATTTTATGAATCCTATTCTTTGTTGTTGTTGTTTTGTTTTCCTGAGACAAGGTTTCTCTGTGTAACCCGGGGCTGTCCCAGAACTTGCTCTGTAGATCAGGCTGGCCTTGAACTCACAGTGAATCTTATCCTTTTTAAATGATTCATTGAATGTGTAATAAAATGTGATTTGACATTTATCTTCTTAAAAGATTTTCTCTAATATAAACTTAAACGTTGAAAATAATGTCCTGCCGGGCAGTGGTGGCACATGTCTTTAATCCCAGCACTTGGGAGGCAGAGGCAGGCAGACTTCTGAGTTGGAGGCCAGCCTGGTCTACAGAGTGAGTTCCAGGACAACCAGGGCTATAGAGAGAATCCCTGTCTCGAAAAACAAAAAAACAAACAAACAAAAAAAAAACAAAAAAAAAAGAAAAAGAAAGAAGAAAAGAAAGTAATATCTATCTCAATTTGAGCTTCATAAAAGCATTTAAAGAGCTATGTGTTTGATCTTCAATCTAGACCTCCTCCATCCAATTTTTAGAAATCCTCTAGGGTAAGAAGAATGTGGTCAACCAAGAGTAGATAGCTGTTCTCCCTAGTTTAAAAAAAAAAAATCTGGGCTGGAGAGATGGCTCAGTGGTTAAGAGCACTGACTATTCTTCCAGAGGTACTGAGTTCAATTCCCAGCAACCACATGGTGGCTCACAACCCCTCTTCTCGTTTGTCTGAAGACAGCTACAGTGTACTCACATATATAAAATAAATAAAAATTAAAAAACAATCTATCAGAATTAAATATATTCAATATCTACTATGAAGAAGTAGGCCTTAGGGAAATGAAATATTGTCTTGAAGAAATTTCTCTTTCATGAACCTAGACAAGAGCATCATGGAAACAGACTGAAATCTCATTTCCCATATTTTCTTATGCCAACTCTTTGAATTCAAGGTTCTCTCTCTCTCTCTCTCTCTCTCTCTCTCTCTCTCTCTCTCTC